ATATATATATATATATATATATATATATATATATATATTTTGTCTAGCACATTATTCTTATTATTAAAGAGATGGTTGCTAGAACCTTCAAATTCTATTTTCATAGTGGTAAAAATTCTAAGTCGTTTAGTAATCTTCATCACTTTCAATTCAAGACAAAAACAAATACATGTTCAGTTTGTAGACAACTCACAAAGTTTTCCACCCAATAGAGAAGAAAGAACATTGGTACTTTTTTAGCAGGAATTAGGTACAAAACTAAATTATGCCATTAATTGTCATATCAAGATTATAAGAAAATATAAAAGAAGAAAGAAAGGGAAAGATGGAGGGATGAGACACATATATACTTTCCACCCAAGTTTATCTCATATTCTGAGTGCTCTTATTTTGGAAATATAAATTCTTTAGGGGAGATCATTATAATGTAAAAAGACCTCACCAAGATACACATAGTACAAGGAGTTTCCATCTTAAACAGATCAATATACTTTCTCCTGTCATATTATTTTTGATCACTGCTGGGTACCAGGCTTCAGAATACAAATCTGATCAACCCACCTACGGATCTCTTTGGTCTTCATGCCATAGACAATGGGGTTAAGGGCAGGGGGTACAAGAAGATAGATGGTAGACAATAGGATATGGGCATAAGATGGTACATGTCCAAAACGGTGGCTAAAGAAGGAAAAAAAGGCAAGGATATAAAATTCCAGGAAGACAACAATATGGGAAGTACAAGTGTTGAATGCTTTGAATCGTGCTTCCTTATGGGGAAGACGAAAAACAGCCCGAAAAATCAGAATGTAGGAGATGAAGACAAAGATCATGTCAAAACCTAGAATTGCGAAGGCCACAAAAAGCCCATATGATTTGTTAATATGAACATCTTCTGCAGCCAGCTTGACCACAGCCATGTGCTCACAGTAGCAATGAACAATAACCACAGATTGGAAAAGTTGCACCCGTTTAAGTAGAATGGGTAAAATCCCAACAAGCACTATTGCCCGAATTGCCATCATCAGTACCATCTGAACTAAAAAGAGAGGTGTGAGGACAGATGTGTGCCTCAAAGGATCACAGATGGCAACATAGCGATCAAAGGCCATGGCCAGCAGGATTCCAGATTCCATACCCTGCAAGGCATGGATGAAGAAGAGCTGGGTAAGGCAAGCATCAAAAGCCATGGAACAAGAGCCAAACCAGAAGATGGCCAACATCTTTGGAGCAATGGCTACACAGAGACCTAGGTCAGTGGCTGCCAGCACTGCCAGGAAGATGTACATAGGTTGGTGAAGACTGCGTTCTGTAGGGATGATGATTAACAAGAAGATGTTCCCCAGCAGAGCAACCAGGCATACACCAAGGAAGGGAAATCCAATCCAAAACTGCACATGCTCTAGTCCAGGGATTCCAGTCAGAGTCACCATCTTTGGGTTCAGAAATGACATGTTGGTAGATTTCATCAGACCTTTCCTCACCACTGATTCTAATACCTATTCAGAGAAAAAAAAATATGGATGAGAAGGAAGAAAGATATTTTCCTCACCATTTCTTCCAAAGCATGAAAAATACGGATGAAAATGTTGCCACATGACTTTAAATCTTTACGAATCCATTTAAGTTGGTATCACAATAGAAATCTTAGATATCTTTACCCAAAGTCAATGTGAGTGTTTGTGGACAAGGAAGATAAGTCCGTTTATTACCTAGAAATTATAGAAATGGAAATTATGATTCTAACAGCATTGATCTTGCTAGTTTTTTGAAGTGTCCTTAGATAGAGGCACAGATGACATTAGATTTTTTTGTCTGTCATCTCCGAACTCCAGACACTTTTCAGATTAGGTGACATTCTTCTGTGACACTTGAAATCATAGAATAGATCCTCAATCCTATAGCCCTGTCCATTTTGTTTAAAGCTCAGAATCTCCAGATAGTCCCAGTCTTCCAATTTTCTCTGGTTTAGGTACCAAAATACCTCCCCACAAATCTTAGGGATTGACTCTCAAATGGGGGAGAGTGAGGAGGTTTGTACTTTCAGCAAATGTTGGTTGAGTTGCCTACATGAAGGCTCATTCTCCAGGTTCTTGGAAGTGATGGGGAGGACTTGTTCTTGTATCAGTTAGTGGAGGAGCATATCTGAGTGACTGAGATAATTCTGGCCCATTAGCTTTCAAAGCGGATGTTTAAGAGGATGGGGTAGGTGATTTGACATTTTATGATGAACACACAATGCAATATATAGATGATGTATTATAGAATTTTACACTTGAAACCTATATAATTGTATTAACCAGTGTCACCCCAATAAACTCAATTTAAATAAATAAGTAAATAAAAATAAAAGAAGAGGATGGGGTAGAAAGTGATGCAAGTACTTACAGGTCTTACAGCAGACAGAAAGTTGAGAAGATAGATAGGAGGTCAGTTGAATTAAAAGGCACCATAAGTTAGGATAGAATTGCAACATACAAAAACTGGCCTATTGAATAACCTATGTAGCTTAAATATTTTGATAATATTAATGTGTTTCAGATACAAAAGGGCAAGGTTGGCTGTGGGTCATTCTACTGTTTATATTGGAGTTCAACCTAACCTAGGTGCTTTTTTTTAATTTTATTGTTGTCAGTTGGCAGTGAAAATAAATTCTTATATATTTTATTATATTATCCCACTTCATACCCATTCCAAACTTAATATTTTAATAATTTGCCAACTCCCTTTATTTAGAAATCTTACACTAAAGCTTACAATAACTTTATATACTCTCATTTTTCTTTTTCATTAACCCTTCTACAAGCTAAACATCATTCAAAAGTTTTTTTCTTTCTTATGATTTTGTGATAGCCAAATGCATTGAATAAGAAATACCACTATGAGTAGGACTTCATATATTTTTATTTAAAAGGAAACTAGAGGGATTACTGCTGTAAAATTATAGGAGAAAAATAGACTGGTTCACAGTCAGTAGGATTATATATGTGGGAATACCTTGAAAGTCCCCAATGTAATAAAATATAAAACACTTTAATAGTTGATGAAGAGAAAGAAATCTTGTTATATGAGCTTCTGTAGCTACATTATCAGTAAATTGTGTCCAAGGCAAAAAACAGAAATAGATTAAAACAATTAGAAATTTTATGAAAAGAAATTCCCTTTGATGCCTATACGAGATGAGGTTAGGAAAGGGAAGTGGTAGATTTTGTAAAAGTGAATGGTGTTAAATATGATTATAGCTTGTTAATGTGACATGAGCAGAAAAAGGCAGAGCCTAAAGGAACTTGAAGAAGGCAATATATGTTACATAATTATTTATAAGTTGCCTGACAATGTAAGGATAAAAGTAAAACTTAGCTCCAATCCCAAAATTATAGGTGATAATAAATTCATCAAATTACTTTTCTTCTATATAACATAGTGTCTGTATTATATGTAAATACATAAAATTATATACATTATATAAAATATATGCATATATATCTATATATAATAAATAAATACATAACATATATTATTTTATATAAATATATAATATGTAAAGGCAAATGCATATAAATACAACATAAATATTATTTATCATCCTATATACTATGTATATACATATACATGTGCAAGTTTCTGTATATCATGCTGTTGTGATATCTTAAAAAACTTTTTGGCTGAAGAGAGACTTCCCATCCCTGGGCTAGCCAATTCTTAGAGGTAGTAAAGGGTCCAGTCAGGAGCATAACTTGGATATGCAAACTAACCACTCCATATATCCTTTATGGCCCATGCACTCAAGGAGGCAGTATCTCTCTGCCTTAATCATCCTAGGGCTAGGTACTAGGCACCTAAAGGTCACCTGTATAGCTAAAGCCCATCAAAACTATTCAAACCAGCCAATCTTAAACTGTTCACCTTTCCCCGCCTTGCCTTTCCCATTGAAACCCCAGAAAAGGCCTTGGCTTGAGTATCTAAGTGTTCCCACTCTCCCACCTTCTCCCCTTGCCTTCTGCCTCTTGATGACATGGTGTATTTTCTACTTAGCCCTGCAAGGCCAACTATGCCTCTGAGCTCTAGGGTCTGTTTGTATAATAACCTTTGTTTCCTGAACCTCTCCTCTGTTTACTCTTGTGGCCTCATCTGACTGAGCATCTCATAAAATACAATACAAACAACCAAAAATCGGTATTTAAAATCATGGGCTAAGAATTTAGAAATATAACATATCATCTAATGCTCGATCTACTATTTACCTCACATGGAATCTTGTCCAAATTCCTTAAGTTTACTTAACTACAAATGGAAGTAAGACTATCACTTTACTCACTGAATTATTGGGAGGGCCACATAAGTTTATATATGAAAAACTCAGCACCAAGTACGGAAGAAAGCAAGCACTCAATATTTGATAGCTAGTGCTTGTCAGAACCTGTAGAGAACGTCTGTGAAGACAGGGACAAATTACCGCCTTCCTGAGTAAGTGTAAAACAAAGATATAGAAATGAGGAAGCTTTCTGAAGAAAGGATTAAAAATCTATGAGACAATGAATTTGCTGGAGTGGAATAACTTTTCTCAATTTTATCCATAAGATTGGACATTCTTGTAAGCAGGTGAAATGATCATTGTCACAATAGAAAAATGACTTCCCAATGACATGGAGACTTTGATGGAGTCAACATATTTCACTTATTTAGATCGATTTGTCGACTTCACCTGAGAAATAATTATATCCTCCTTTATGACTAGATAGATGACTAGGTAGATGGAAAACATATAAATAGGAAAACCAGTTTTCTAAAAGAGTTTAAATTAAAAATAGCTCCTAAAATAACAAAAGCATGTATTTATACAACTTAAATTATTTCTATGATAATCAGATGAGAAAATATTCATTTCTGGTCTCAGCATAAAAGAGAAAGAGAAAGGAATAGAAAGATACTTTAAATGAAAACAGGGTAAAGTGTTAGAAACAAGAGACAAAAATACAAGATTTTAATGTCCCAGCTAAAGAGAATACTGTATTTCAGGAGACAGGATATGATATGAGTTGTCATTACAGTGGCAATAACAACATAACAAAGCTATTAAAGTCAATAGGATGCTTCTATCTTTGACTTTCCACATCTTTCAAGCCCTACCACTAATTAACTGGATTGTGTCAGTTCTCAGTTTTCTTCACATGTAATTAAGAAGATAGTAGATTATCTTTGCATCTCTCCCATCTCTACATGAGCTAAGTCTAGTCCATCTGCCATATTATTGATAAACCTGAATAAGAGAACAAAAGGTGACATGCCAAAGTAAAGTTTGGTACTGAGAAATACAAAATCAAGGTTATTTGATTCATTACCCTTTCCACTTCTGTTAAAATCTGCTACAATTAGAAACATTGAGCAATACACTGGTCCCAATTCATGGAGAAGAAACTCACCCAGAAAAACAAGATAGCTAACCAGAATGTAAAATCAGTGAATGGAAGAGCTCTTCCCTGCCAGGCTTTGGATTTGGAAAAGTATTAGCTACTAAGTGTCTTTCATCACTTGTCTTTAGCTGTTGCTTCTCTTGGCCTTGGAATCCTACCTGATCCCAGCGCAATTTTCAGACCTGGCCCTAGAGAGGTCATTACACTCCTGACACTCAGCCCTTTTTTGGAGGAGAAAGATATCCCTTGCCTGAAGGCACAGAGGCAGAAAGTACTGTTACCTCCTGAGTTGTTTCCAAGAAATGAGAACCAGGAAATCTCAAATTATAGGTTTCTTTTAGACCAAGGTGAATGTAAAATCATTAGGCATGTGTGGAAAGAAAATCTGAGAAATGAAAAATTTGTGGAGTGAAACAAAGGAATATAGTAATTTAATCCACTTTCTGGCCTATGGCTAGACTTGCAGCTTAAGGAAACAGAAAATATATTTATCTTTATAAATATGTTTCTACAGCTGAGACTTATAGCTACAAGAACTTCTACTCTTATTATTAGTACCATTATTACCACTAATAAAATTGTTTGAAACCATTATAGCACATTTCAGTTTCAGAAACAATAATGTTTGTTTTTTTGTTTGTTTTTTATATCCTTAGTGTCAGGAAGGATACTGCAGGCTTACCCTGTTGCCTAAGCCAATTTGAGAATTCATCAATTTCTTCTTTGTTCCACTTTGACACTACTTTTCACCCCCTACATTGGTAATGTTTATGAAATTTTGCAGTGACTGCTTGTGTATCTCTAATGTCAGAGTAATCTACTCAAGATCTCCAGGTGGTGAGCTTCACAGAATGTTGGGGAGTACTTCAAATGTATCCAATATAAGGTTGTGTTTTTATCACAAAATTAATGTAACGCATTCCTTTGCAATAGAACATTATTAATTCAATGTAAAATTATATTGGAAAACTTAACTTCCTTACTCTCAGAAGAAGGACCTAGTGTGTCAGTTGATAATATGATGTTTGAGAATGTGGTCTTTATTACACTTAAAT